CACCGTTACCTCATTTCCATTTCAATGTTTTAAGTGCATACAAATGGAGAAGTTGCCAGTTGCATCGATGGCGCGACAACGAACGTCGACGACATGCAGTTGCTCTAGTACTCAAGTTCTCAACGCATACAAGTCACATTATGCTGAAGATATTTTGGTACTTTGGTCAGCTGCAGTTTTACCTGGTTCTCCATCTCTGCTGCTGCCCACTTCCAGTTACTCTGACCAATGCTGCATCGTATAATGGTCAGTGTTTGGCCCCCTTATTGAATTACTAGCTCAGTGTTTTTTTTTTTTTTTTTTTCTTACAGAGGCACTTAGCCAATGCTGGACAATTGCGATATATTGTTAATTCTCCGTCATTTTCATTTCAGATACTATCAATGCATACCTTTTATATCACGTAGTGGAGATGTTTTGATACCATAGTATTTTGACTGCTTGCGATCCATAAAGTTGTTCAGCTTTGAAATTGGTCGCTTTTCCAGATGATTTGATCAACGCAGCATCTACTGGTGGTCAGCGTACTGGCGATTCTAACATTCTATTTCATCTCCTAAAAAGACTGTCAGCTCAAGGCAAGAGTATCTAACAAAGCTGGTGCTTTGTACAGATCGATGACACGTTGAGTGTTTGAGTCGGAATTTGTAAAAGTTTCAGGTTTAGAATAAGAATCAGAGAAACCTGGAAACTTTTTAGTAAATTTTGAAGATTTCTGAAATCTGAAGATTTTTTCCAGTAAATTAAGTGAGGGCTGTTTCTCCAGATACAATTTCTTTATGTACATTCCGAATCCACTGATCCAGTAGACACGCACACATATGCACAGATATGTACACATTCATAAATACATATATATGCACCTATAAATAATTTTGCGCAGACGCAGGCACACACAAATACACGCGAAGACAAGTATGAGCTCTGGATTTACTTGTCATAGGTAAGCATGTGCACACCTACAGGCATACACGCACGCACGTATGAGCAGACACGAACTAGCAGAGACGAAATACGCATAAAAAATTTATTGAATGCGGTGATTTATGCATATTTTGGATTTTGTCTATAAATTATCGCAAAAATCATTCAATCCTCAGTAATTGTTCACGTAAAGATGGCAGCAAGTTTTTACCTATCGTTTGGTCGTAGGCCTGGCCAACACGGCAATAGCGTTTATTTGCCTACCGATGAGGAAGGATTCAGCCGCCGCGGTGATATTCCTCCGAAGTCTATGGGCCTCAGTAAGGTGAGGGGGGCGAGCATTTTTCCTTATATGCATATCTGCATATGCATACGTTCTTTTCACGCCGCGAATTTATGTGCTTTAATCAGCTGTTGCTTTGTCCGTGCGTTGCATTTCGTCATTGACACAGCTGGCAGTTTTCTCCATTTTTCTCTGTATTGAGTTTTTCTCATTCACGTAATTAGGAAACGCACTAATAGCTAAGAAATTAAAAAAGAAAAATTGGATTAAGCACAAAAAAAGGAAGGGGTAAGATAAAAGGAGATTTCCGGATATGAATGTTTCGGTTCATTAAGTCGTAATTTCAAACAGCAAATTCTTCAGCGCGTTTTAGCTTTTTCCGGTGTTCTTTTGATTTCGCCAAAATGAGGAAATCAAAAGGGCAAAATAGCCTCCATATTCATTCTGTATGAGAGAAGAAGACATTTGGAAGTATTCCGAGAGTAATGGGTACACATCACAATGAAGTTTTGAGCAAAGCAAATACTTGTTAAAACAAATAAGCGAAGATACGAGTAGCCGCCACGAATCAACGTCAAGAATAGTGTCAGCATCGAAGAGGATATTATCGAGATACAGGCGAGAAGCATAATATCGAGGGAAGTAAAGTAGCTGTACAGGCGGGAGGATTTCAAGAGAAATACAGTCGGGTACGAGCTGGAGCTACTGGTTCAAAACAATGTCGTGAACAGAATACCGTCATTTGTTTCGAGCAGAGAAAAAAATGCGTCAAAAATACCGACGTCCAGATCCTGTTTGAAAAGAATACCCGAATAACCCTAATGCCCGAATAACTCCTCAGAACTCTATCCCCAATACCCCGTCAAACCCCATCACAGCTACATCCCTCTCAACGCAGCCACACCATTTGGCCATCGTTCACAATGATGATGTAGTCTTTTTTAAAATTCCGAAAGGAAGAATCATTTACGTTTTGTTCACAGCGTTGTGAAAAAGCGCACGTTAAAAGGCCTGGATATAAAGAAGAATCGTGTAACGGTAAACAGTTTGAAAAGGTTCTCCTCTTCACCAACAGCAAACACCTATTCGCAAGGCTGCTGACGGTACCTTTTTTCTAGAGTTGCTTACGAGCACGCAGATACCGGGATTGACCCTCTAGCACATTGATTCTCCAAGCGGCAGAGCCGGGGCGCGTGTCCACCTGCATGACAGCTGTATGTTTGGCACGGATTTGCGAGGTTAAGTTAATGCCTACTCCGCAAATTCGGTATACTAATAACTTGGGTTGAGACAATGACTACCTTTGTTGGGTGGAAATTCAGCCTGCAAATTTCCAGCCTTGATATGTCTGTTCTACAATTTCAGGATAAGGGTGAGGGAGGGATGCCAAACGATATGCAGCCCTACAAATATGCACCACATGGACAGGCCGGATATCCGAATGTCAGTGGGGATGCGTATCTGGTCGACTATCCAGCCAGTGCGACCGCTCGTGCAAGTGAACGTGATATTATTTCTGGCGCATTCTCGCCAGTCACGCAGCTCACTTACGGACAGGTTATTGCTGATCAGCAACATCTAAGTCTTATAAAAAGTTTCCAGAAAATGTTACTGTAAGAGTTTGGCTTTTCGTAGGACAAAAAGTCTGGTTTATCAAAAAGTTCAGGCTTTTAGATGTAATTTATGTGGATCCCAGATCAAATAAATATATGTCCACACTAGTGGGTTCCCCGCGAACGGAGATCTTTTGTAAATATGAGCTTGGGAAAACGCGTGGAATTTTCACACACCGAAGCGGAGTTCTTAAACATTACCTTATCAGTCATACTTTAGCTCAGTATAGCTCAACGCATTTTAACGTATATCACTTATTTCTTCAATGGATACCGGCTTTTTGTGAGACTCCCCAGACAGGGGTTGTAGAAATACGAGCTTTCACCTTCTCTCGACTTGCATCAAAGTTCCAGAAGGAAGTTTTTTTGCGAACCCCGGAAATTGAAACCGTCTTTTGAAGGGCCATAAAGAAACTATTGCGTCTACTAAACGGTTTTATAAAGCCATTCATTTATTCATGGCTATTATTCAGGGTGGAGACAAGGGCAACAAGACTGAGGAATATATTGAATCCAACTACATGGTGGCGGCGCTCAACAACGTAAACCACTTTTCGCAAAAAATTGCGTTTCAGTTCTCCAGGATTTTTGAGAAACATGTAGGGAAACTCACGTTGAGGATTTAATTTTCCTGTTTTTTTTTCAGAACCATAACCTCGTTGCCGGTGCTCGCGAGAAGGAGGCGAAGCCAAGAAACATTGAGGTTTAGCTTTGTTCTCACTGAAAAAAATGAAAACCTCTCTATACAACCATAGCACCGTGCCAATAGAGACCACTCGTTGGCAAAAGTTTGGATAGGGATTCTCACTAATCTACTTGAACGCCTGAAATGGCTAACAGTTCAGCACTGATTTTCATTCGGCTTATCTTCAAAAGTATTTAAATTTAATTCTAAACAAGATAAAAGTTACGAACAACTGTTGTAAGTGATTCTGAAGAGGCAGTTGCTATAAAAACAACATGTAAGCAATTGGTCATAAAGTGCTAGTGAGAGGGTAATCTTGCTGGTCGGGTTTCTGGATAAACTTCGAAGGTTCCTGGATTCTCACGTATGCGTCCTACTACTACTTTACCTCACTTATTTCGATTAATTTCCCTTAATTGTTAAGATAGTAAA